GCCTGGGAATTGGGGGATAAATAACAGTAACGATTACCCTTCTGCTTTGGAAAATGGTGGCACAGTCTCCCCAACACTACAAACGAGTCTCGGTGCAGGTTTGGCACCGCTCAGTGCCTGAAAGAAAAGGATGGGCACTGCAGCCGACCACTGTCAAGCTGCCTTCCCTGCCCTGAACTCTGGCATGACGAGGAAATGGGACTGGGAGAAACCGTGGTGTCTTCAGTCTCCTGATTCTCCAGGATGAAATGTGTCCTGCCCATCCCACGTCCCAGAACTCCCACTTGCCTGCCACCTTAACGCCTCCCTTTCCCCCTTGCCTGCAGTCCAGTGCTCCCCCGGGCACTACTACAACACCAGCATCCATCGCTGCATCCGCTGTGCCATGGGCTCCTATCAGCCCGACTTCCGCCAGAACTTCTGCACCCGCTGTCCAGGGAACACAAGCACTGACTTCGACGGCTCCACCAGCGTAGCCCAGTGCAAGAGTATGTGCAGGCCCGGCGGCAGGAAAGGGGTTAGAGAGGCGGGCGCAGTGGGCACAGGAAGCAGCAGGTGGGAGATAACCAGCAGGGAGCGGGCCTGGGGCGTGGAGGGGCAGGGACGTCCCACCCTCCGTCTCTCCCCAACTCACTCAGGCGCAAGACCAGTTGCACTCTCTCCCTGGAGACAGGTCATGGGGAGGCAAAGACAGGAGAGGGGAGATAAGAAGGTCCTAACAGAGCAGGAGGGAAGGGGACCCAGAACTTGGAGGAAGGATGAGCTCAGAAGGTGGCTAGCTACCTACGTGTGTCTGATCTCCACTTCAGAGCTCTTCATTTTCCCCAACCCGTTTCCCCACTGACTTCACTTCTCTTTCTTGCTCTGTCCGCTGCCCTTGGCTATAGATCGTCAGTGTGGTGGGGAGCTGGGTGAGTTCACTGGCTATATCGAGTCCCCCAACTACCCAGGCAACTACCCAGCCGGCGTGGAGTGCGTCTGGAATATCAACCCCCCGCCCAAGCGCAAGATCCTTATCGTGGTACCCGAGATCTTCCTGCCGTCTGAGGACGAGTGTGGGGACGTCCTCGTCATGAGAAAGAACTGTGGGTGGCTGCACAGCTGGGCCAGGGAAGGGCAGTCCAGATCTGGCTGGGAGGGAAAGAGAGAAAACTGGCACAGGAAGAATTGGGGCCGTGGCACGGGAGGCCTTGGGAGGAGAGACACTCACAAAGGAAAACAGCCCTGGTGCGCATGGTGGGTGGAAAGCAGTTAAGAAAGGCAGCACTGGGACCAGAACTCCAGTAGTGTCACATGTGCCACCGTCCTCCTCTAGCATTTTTGCTGTTCCATTCATTTAAATGTCAAATTTCTTCCACTTTGTGAGTGCCAGGATGTCAAAGAGGCGTTGTGGAACAAGCTCATGAGGGTGGGAGACAATATATGTATGGGGGTGGGGGCGGCGCATGCACAGGTGACGCCTCTCAGGATGATTCCTCCTCCCACAGCCCTCACTCCAGGAGGGGGCTTGGGGAGCGTGCCCTGCTGCTCCCCTGACATGCTGCTTGCCTTCCCAGCCTCCCCATCCTCCATTACCACCTATGAGACCTGCCAGACCTACGAGCGCCCCATCGCCTTCACAGCCCGCTCCAGGAAGCTCTGGATCAACTTCAAGACAAGCGAGGCCAACAGTGCCCGTGGCTTCCAGATCCCCTATGTCACCTACGATGGTGAGCAAGGACAGGAGAGCCAGGGGGGTGGCTGAGAACGGGGAGGCTCAAGGGCCTCAGGGGGCGGCAAGGGGAACGGAAGGGTTCCCACCCCTAAGCTCTTCCCCTGGGTTGACTCTGCAGAGGACTATGAGCAGCTAGTGGAAGACATTGTGCGAGATGGTCGGCTCTATGCATCTGAAAACCACCAGGAGATTTTAAAGGCAAGTGGATATAAATCACAATAGCCAACATTTAATGAACATGTATGTAACAATGTGCAGGCAATATGCTGTGTGCTTACATGAATGTTCTCATTGGATACACACAATTGCTCTGTGAATTAGGTACTTTCCTCATTCCCACTTGACAAGTGAGAAATATGGGGCACAGAGAATTACAGAAGTTGCCCAGAGGTTAAGCTGAAATTTGAGCCTCAGCCCACCTGACTGTAGTATTACCCACACCTGGGGGAAGACAAAGGGAAGATGAGGAGATGTAACGTCCCCTACCTCTTCCGTAAAAAATTCTAGGGTCTGGCCAGGGTGGCACCTATGAACCAGGAGGTCAGGGTTTGATTCCCAGTCAGGGCACATGCCCAGGTTGCAGGCTCGATCCCCATTAGGGGGCGTGCAGGAGGCAGCCGATCAATGATTCTCTCACATCATTGATGTTTCTCTCTCTTTCTCCCTTCCTCTCTGAAATCAATAAAATATATATATATATTTTTTTTTAATCTAGGGAAAATTAGGTATAGAAAAATGCTTTTGCTTAAGTCCCTTCCTTCCCTTACTCCCACAGAAAAGCAAATTAGCACAGCATTTCTCAGAGTTAATTCAGTAAAGACCTCTTTTAAGGGAAAAGAAATGTTCCCAGCATTGAAGAATCAACTAGACACCTGGGTCATGTGGATCCCAGTTTGAGAAAATCTTACTTAAGAAACTATAGTCCTAGTCACAGTCCTTCATAAATTATTAATTTTAAAAATGTTTGTCTCTATGTCAATAATTTTTGTATTATCATCAAAATAATGGACATGATAACAAAAATCTTCTAGAACTTGCAGACTGCAAAGAATATCATTTCAGAAATGCTTTTAAAACATTTTTTAGCCTAGCTTGTTTGGCTCAGTGGATAGAGTGTTGGCCTGTGGATCAAAGGGTCCTAGGTTCGATTCTGGTCAAGGGTACGTACCTTGGTTGCAGCCTCCTTCCCAGCCTGGGCCCTGGTCGGGGCTCATGCAGGAAGCAACCAATAGATGTGTTTCTCTCACATCAGTGTTTCTCTCTATCTTTCCCTCTCTCTTCCACTCTCCCTAAAAATCAATGGAAAAATATCCTCGAGTGAGGATTAACAGAAAAACAAAACCAAAAAAACAACACATTTTTTAAAGCATCTGAACCCTTATTTCAAACTAGGGGCTCAGCGCACGAAATCACGTGAGACCAAGACCCGGCGCGCCACGGGACCCAGAGTCAAGTCCCGCCAGCGCCCGGTCTTTGGTCGTTATGGCGTTATGACCACTGGGTTTTTATTATATAGATATGCTATGGAATTCTAATGCATAAAGTAGTCAAGCCGTTTTGATTAAAGTGGGGAGGAGAGGCTGAAAGCCCCACCTCTTATTTTAAAAATCTGCTGATGCAGTGGAAAGAACCTACCCTTGATGCAGTGGAAAGAACCTACCCTAGAAGCTGGAAGATCTGAGTCCTAAGGCACAGTGCCTGGCACGTACGAGGCCCTCCACACATCACGTTGCCAGGTTGCTCAGGGAAGGCCTCTGAGAAGAGACCTGAACGAGGTAAAGGACTACCTATCAGACGATCAGGAGAGGAGTGTTCCAAGCTATGGAGCATGGGAGCAGTGTGGCATGTCCAAGAACTTTGAGAAGGCCAGTGTGGTCAACAAAATAAGGAAAATTCTAGAGGATGGAGGAGAGAGAACAGGGCACAGATCACATTCAACGAATGGGCCATGCAAGGGACTCGGCTTTACTGAGTGAAAAGAAGCAGAGAAGTGTTTTGAATGGACATGACCTAATTAAACATTTTTAAACAGTCACTCTGGGGAAGGACAGTCTGTAGAAGCACAGGGTAGGCAGAAGCATGGAGACCAGTTAGGAAGCTCTTGCAATAGTCCAAGTGAGAGACGATGGTGGCTTAGACAGGGTGCTAGCTGTGGAGACAGTGAGAAGTGGTCAGACTCTGGATAGATCTTGAAGGTAGAGTCAACAGGACTTGCTGTGGTTGTGAGCAAAAAAGAGGAGTCAAGGATGGCTTCAAGGATTGGGCAGTGGAAGGCTGGGGCTGCCACTGACTGAGCTGTAGATTCTAAAGGAGGAACAGGAAGTGGGGGTGGGGATCCAGCTCACCTCAGAGTAGCCCTGTTAGACAGCAAGAGGGGCTGCTGCTGAGCTGAGGCGGGTCCCTCTTTCCCCTGCTGACACTCACATTGCCACCTGCCACCCTTTGCAGGACAAGAAGCTCATCAAGGCCTTCTTCGAGGTGCTGGCTCACCCCCAGAACTACTTCAAATACACAGAGAAGCACAAGGAGATGCTGCCAAAATCCTTCATCAAGCTGCTCCGCTCCAAAGTTTCCAGCTTCCTGAGGCCCTACAAATAGTACCCTGTGCCCAAGACCCAGGTTTTGAAGACCCCAGATTCCTCAGCCCTCAGAGCCGGCAGCCCCCACCCCCAGATAAGGAACTCTCTCCTCTCTTTTAGAGAAAAAAAAATCACTATATAGACCCAGAACTCTCCCTTTCTGTCGCTCTAGCCTCCTTTCCTTGTCTCTCTGCCTCTCTCTCTCTCTCTCTTTACCTCTCTCCTGTTTTTCCTTTTCCTGCATTCTCCCTGGAAAAGCCATTTAGTACTGGCTGTGTTCCCCCTGAGGGGTGCAGGAACCCTCTCCAGCCACACTGCCCACGTTACCAGCTCACATCCCTAACCGCTTCAGCTTAGAAGAATGCTAGAGGCCCAAGAAAGAAGTGGGTCTGCTGGGGAATGGGGAGGGGGGAGAGGGGCTTCTGCCATTATAAGGTTGTGCCTTACTAGTCAGGAACCAAAATGTCCCCTGGCTGGGCCCCCCAGCCGCCCCCCTCCCCCCAGGTGATTCTAACAGCCCAAGGTTCTGCCAAAGAGGCCTTTGACTTACAGGCTTAATGCTAGCACTGGTCCTCTGGGGCACGTGGTGTGAGCTCTGGACCTCGGGTTTGAGCTCTGGACCGCCCACACAGCCGTTTCCGGGTCTAGACAGCTCCTCTACTTCTGCCATGTCTGCTTGGGTCCAATCCACGAGGGCTTACAGAAGGCCCACACCACTGGGCTAGTGGACACAGCCGAGTGAGGAAGAGCAGCAGGCATTACCATGTTGAAAGTGCTGCTGTCACTCCCCAGGAGAAAGACTATATATGTAGCTCTGCAGGACAGAAACCAGGTTCTAGAGCATCGCCAAGAAAAAGAAAAAAGAAAAAAAAAAGCAAAGAAATTGCATCATCTAAAGGACTAGACTACAGAACAACTGGAAGCCAGCCTCAAACCCTAATCCTTTTTCTCGTCTTCCCTGGCCCAGCCATCCCCTCACCCTGATCCGAGTGCTCCCTGGGGGAGCCCTACTCCCCTTGCTAAGTGTTGTCCTTAAAGAAACGTGGCTGCTAAGCAGAAGCCAGCCTGGGCCTGACCCCAGATTTGGCTTTCCCTTGTAGCCTCAGATGGCTTGTGGGCTCCACCAAAGAGGACCCCACTCTGCAGCCAGCCCAGAGCCACCTACCTCTGGCCCCAGGCTATGGGCAGCAAGAGGAATGCGTGTGCACTTGGCAAGCCTTCTGCCCACCCCGTCTACATCTAATAAGTGCAATCATTAAGTCTATGTTGTCTAGAGGGAGGGGTTTTTGTTTTCTGGTTTTATTTTTTGGTTTTGTTTCTTTCTCCTGTGTTAGAGCAACCCTATTTATAGCTGCCCACAACGGAAGAGTATATGTTTGGAGTGAAGAGAAAGGTTTTGGATCTCATGAACTTTGAGTGCCGGAGCACCTGATCTGTCTGTACTCCTCACCCAGTGGCCATCCAGACCTCCTGAGCTCTCGGTGTGGGTAACCCAGGGCTGTAACTCCGAGGCACCTGACGTGTAGGACAGTAATTCTGGGGACTTTGTGGAGCAGGAAGGAGAGGGACCTGTGTTTGCTAAACCAATCCTGCTATCCCTATGCCTCTCCATGATTCAGTATGGACCTCATGATTGTAGAAGCCGATGGAATTGGTCAGTGATTCTCTACCCCAAGAGGGAAGCCTCCATCTTTTCCCTGCCTTCCTCCTGTTTCCCCTTGGTGTGCACATGGAAGAGGACCAGGACAAGCCCCCTGGGGATGGGCTGACCAAGGGCCCTGCGGCCAGAGACAAGGCTGAGGAAGCCAAGAATAGGACAGGTATCCAGGCATGAAGTTGTTTGCCTGAACTTGTCCATTCCCTCTCTGAGTTGACTTCAAGCCTAGTTGCCTCAATTACTGCTTTTCAAGAGGAAGAAGTAAGTCCATGCGTAAGCCTCAATCCACTGCTGCCTGTAAAATTATTTTCCATTTGTTCTTTCTCATTCCCCCAAAGCTGTGTCCTATTCCATCAAAGGCTACCAGTTGACTCATAGTGTTTATTTCCAAGTGACTGTTCTAGGCCACTGCTCCCCCAGGAGACTCCACACTAAGTAAAGAAGCCTGGCCTCCACCCCCTTTCCCCAGTCAGTAGCATTTACTATCCAAACAGCCTTAAGGAGTACGTAGCCAATGTCACAGCTATATCCCCTCACATCCACTAGCCAACACCATGGCTCTTAGGGGTGGAGTGTCTGTCTCCCTTCGTGTCTCTGGATCAAAGACAGTGTTACTATAAAGATCCAGAATGGCTGCCTCCAAGCAGGAAAATGGTCAGTTAATCCATACTTCCTGGGATAGGCCATAAAAACTGATTTTTTATTAACTTTGACCATCCTCATTCTCTGCCAGAAGCTAGGATAACGTTCTGATTCCTCTCTTCCTACCATTTGCATCTCTCTTAGAAAGCCAGCCGGAGTGCTTCCCAAATTACGCCTTCAGGGTCTGGCTTCTTGCACTCTTCCTTTCCTGTCACCCCATATGTATACAAACACACTTCCTCCAACCGTTTATTCCATGGTTTCTGGGACCTGCAAATGATTTCCACAGTTTGGAAAGTACTGGCCACTAACTAGGCTTCTTAACTGATGTCAAGGCAGATCTTGGCGAGCACACGAAGACCTGCTAATAATGTCCACCAAGTTTAATTTAGGTTGTCCAAATTGGAGGTGTATGAACCCAGACAACTGTTCACTGAACCCATGGAGGAAGCCAGCCCTGGGGCATCAAACTAACTGAATGAGGAGTCAACACTCAGGGACTCTCCCAGTGGTTCTCAACCTTCCTAATGCCGCGACCCTTTAATACAGTTCCTCATGTTGTGGTGACCCCCAACCATCAAATTATTTTCGTTGCTACTTCATAACTGTAATTTTGCTACTGTTATGAATCGTAATGTAAATATCTGATATGCAGGATGTATTTTCAGGGGTCGTGACCCAGAAAAGGAGGCCTGGGGAAGTGGAAAGATGGTGTAAATGGGAATCCTTCATGAATCAGCCCAGAGGCCACTCAGCAGGATGGGTGTTTACAAGGCCACAGTATTTATAGTTATAAGGCTTCATTTCTCTTAGTACAAAACCTGCCCTGATCTCAGTCTGGGAATGGGAAGCCATTTCTGCAGGGGCTCTGAGCATCAAGTAATGCGTATCAGAAAGGCACTTAGAGCCTCAGCAGCATGTAATCCCTTTTACTTCTCTGCCTCCCTCTTTCTGTATTGGACCAGGCCCATTCACTAAGCCTGAGGGAACTCTGAGTGAGAAAAAAATGATCAGAGTCCGGCCGTGAGCTGCCACCTGCCCTAGGCCTACAAATGCCCAGAGGCTGGCACTGAGCTATGAGTGCTCTGACTTCCCCAGGATGGATGGGTTTAGTTTGGTGGAGGCTCATATTTCTTGCTGAAAGTTCAGTAATACAGTCCTGATTTTTGGTACTAATGAAACTTTTTATATTTGAGAATGTTCTCCATATGCATATTTAAGGTGATTCTGGAGTGGATTAAGAGGTCATATCTCAAAATGTCAGAAAACGTTATGGAGCATTCAAACTTTTGTATTTGCTGCTTAACCTCAATATAAGAGGCTCAAACTAGGAGACAAAGGGAGACAAAGGATAAGTGACCATAAGCAGGAAATAATGTTAATCTGCTTGGCTTCTTAAGCACAGTAAGAAAAAAGTGGAAGCAAATAACACAAGGATGTCTTCAAATTCAACCTGTCTCAATGGTAGCACATCCTGTCCTGGGGCCATTATTTGGACTAGTAACCCTTTAAGAAAATATATGATTACAGGGAATAGAATCCCCAGTTCTGTTATCAGCCTATCTAGACAACACAGACTATAGTAGTATGGACAAACTGAAAACTTATTCATTTGTGTGAGTTGAACTGAAGTTTCAGAATAACCATTATCACGTAGGAGGTTTTCTTTTTTCCATGCAGAAGAAATCTCAAAATATTGTATTTATATCTGCCTTCCACTGCTGCCGATATAATAAGTATCTCCTACACAATCAACAATAAACAGTAAATGATGCAGTTCATAGAATATTTTGCACTTGGAGAAAAAAATGTATCTGAACTTGTAAAAAGAAATGTTTGGATTTTGTATTGTCCTTTTTTATTATTATTATTATTAAAATACTTAATGAAACTCCTCAGCCTGGCATCTTTTCCTCCATCTCAGTAGCTTATCCTAGAGCCAGAAAAAAAAGCTTAGAATAAACAAAGTGTCTTCTGGCTTCTGCACTTACCAAATTTTTCATTTCCCCACCTTATTCCTAATGGTTTTAGAATTTGAAAAGGCATGTCCCTTTTGTCTATTTTTAAAAGCAGTATCAAAAATTAGCCCCAAGGGGGATCTAGGGAGCAGGGGAAATTTAGGATATTGTTCCTCCTCATCACAGCACAGTTCCCAAAATCTGGCCAGGGCCACGAGTGGCTCAGACACCTCCCTGGTTAAGATGTCCCACCTCTGGCAAAGTACCAGCACCGAGATTCCCCAAGCTTGTGCTTTTCATGCAGTACATTCTATGCCATGAAACAGAATTATGAGAGCAAGCTCCAGTCTCATAAATGAGCAGTCCCAAATTCTAGGTTCAGGTGACAGGTAAATCTTAATTGTTGCAATTTTATAATTCCCCGACATGAAATTTGGGGCCACCAACTTGGAGCCGTTCTCTGACTTCTCTCTTAATCTTCTTATCTTACAAAAACACCAAGTCTTCCCTCTTCTACCTAGGACACTTGCAATGATGTTCCAGAATAATGTACAGTGGAGTACAGGTCAGCTCATACCAAGCAGTCTTTAAAATGGGGTACATGAAGACTTTCCAAGGCAAGGAAATCAATCTGAAGAGAGTTTTAAGGCAATAAATTTCCAGATCCTCAACTTCTACAAGAAATCTTCCCTAAAACTAATCTGTTTGAGAGCCAGCTGGCATATTCATGCACATTTCCATCCTGCCTCCTCTTTCATCACAGTCCTTGTCCTCCTTCCACAAAAGAAAGGCGTGTTCCTCACCCACACTGAATCTTAATGCATGGCCAGAGGGTAAAAACCTGGGAAGCAGGAGGGAGGGGTGTTTTCCTTTTATATCAAAATAGTCCCATTATGAACAGTCCTCTTATGTATTTCAACTATGTTTACTATTTTCTACCTCCTACTTGTAAAAATGAAAGTAGTTATTAGCTGTTCAATCCATCATTTTTATTAATATGTAAGAAAAAGTTTGATCGTGAAGTCTAACAAAATTATTGGAGTTATTTTTTGATTTTTATACACGATATGTTAATTGTTCCCAAAAGCCTACGTCAGAGTTCCACACAAGCACATACCCACATTTGCCAGGGAGGTAATATGCCTTCTACCCTACTTATCACTTAATAAATTAACAAATGGATTTAGCTATATGGCATTATTCCAAATGATATAATGACAAACAGTATTATCTTGTGTTTATAAAAACTTTTTTATAATATTAATATTAGATCTATAGCCCTGACCTATGTGGGACAGTGGTTATAGCACCGGCCCCACACTGAAGTGTCAAGGGTTGGATTCCCAATTAAAGGCATGTACCTGGGTTGCAGGTTGGATCCCCAGTCCTGGTTGGGTGCGTGCGAGTGGGAGGCAGCCAAATGATGTGTCTCTCTCACAGCAATGTTTCTGTTTCTCTCTCTCTCTCTTTCCCCCTCCCTCCCTGTCTTCCACTCTCTCTAAAAATCAATGGAAAAAATATCCTTGGGTGAGGTTTAGCTAATAATAATAATAATAATAATAATAGATCTACATAATTTTAAACATGATTTTTAGCCATCAATTTTATAAACTACAGTTAATAATTTATTTCCCAATTGTTTTATCATATCCTTTAAAATGAACATTAACATATTTATTTAAATTGAAGAATAAAGTCAAACTTTTTCCTGAAAGAAAGTAATTCTGACTTGGCTGATTACCATAGAGGCTAGTAGTTTTAAATGAAGACTGGTTTTGCTAATTCCACAAATGGCAGTATTTTCCACATTGAAGTAAACCTGCACTTCTATATTTTTTAAAAATATATTTTATTGATTTTAAAGAGGAAAGGAAAAGCAGAGAAAGATAGAAACATTGATGAAAGAGAAACATCATCATCAATCAGCTGCCTCCTGCATGCCCCCTGCTGGGGATCAGCCCCCAACCTGAGCATGTGCCCTGATAGGGAATGGAACTGGTGACTTCCTGGTGCAGGGGTTGATGCTTAACCACTGAGCCACACTGACGGGGCTGCACTTCAATATTTAAACAAAAATATGAACACATAATGATGTGGTTAAAAAATTATCAAAAAATAGTGTTGGCAAAAATAAAAAATAGTGTTGGCAATAGAGTATGAAAATTAACATTGAATTTAATGAGGTGCCTCTGAGTGAAAAGACAACAAAATTAATACTCATTTTTATAAGACTATAACTGAAACTCCAAAGAACAGGTAACAAATCCTTTTGCAGATTCAGTGGTTTCCAATTCTTTGCTTTTAATAAAATTAAAGGAAGACTCTATTTGATAGTACCTGATAATAGTATTTGGTAGTAGGACACTCTGTGATTGTTGGCATGTGACTCGGAAGTAGTTCAGACTGGAGGAATATCATTGTAACAGATCTCTTCCTTTCCCAATTACTATGTGAACAAGGCTTCTCAGCATTTATGTCTATAAAAATAAAAAACAGGTAGAGAATTGATGAGAATTCAAGAGAAACACCAAATTTCTCATTGAGATATATTTTCAATAAAAATTGTACTTTTTAGGTTTCACAAGTTATAAGCATGTGTAATATATTTATGTTGTTTAATAAACTGTGTACTAGTCATAACTATAATGACAATTCAGTTCAGAAGAAATGTTAACAATTAAAGCCCATGGTCACAGGCTATAAATTTAAATTTACACTCATTTTTGTTGTAAAGTATGACAGTGATCAATAAAAGACTTTAAAGCATACAAATATACTAATTAGGATAAAATACTATATGGGAAGAAAATGGAATTGGGAGTTCAAGAAGAAAGGGAAAACTAAAATTCCTGTTAAAAAGAGAGCTTGTTTATATATTTTTTAATGGATGATGGTGGGCATCATATATTTAGAGTATTTGGAGTCCAGTGGATACATTTAAGAATGATGTAATGGTTTTAGTTTAAAGTGTCAAAACTTACAGCAAGTCAGAAATATCCTCTATAAGTATTTAAATTTATCATGGAAAATATAGATACCAACTTAAAATGAATAATGGGGTACACAGTTCTTTAAAATTCTTTTATGGAGTCTGTCTTTAAAAAAAAAACAACTCTGAAGATCACTACTCTACATGGCATATTGCAGGGGTGGGGACCAAAGGCAGAACAGAAGCTGCTAGAAATGATCTTCAATCATCCACTCCAAAGTATTTTCCTCACCAGTTCTCCCGAGTACATGAAATTACCCACCATCAGAATCTTATTACTTCAAATGCAGACACTGGTTTCCTAGAGCGGTTTTTTGTTTGCTTGCTTGTTTTGTTTTGTTTTTTTATTGATCTTAGAGAGAGGGAAGGAGAGGCACATCCATGTGAGGAACATCAACCAGTTGCCTCCCATACTGGCCTGAAACCTAGGTATGTGCCGAGTGGGAATCGAACCCGAAATCTTTTGGTGCAGGGGACGATTCGCTCCAACCAACTGAGCCGCTCAGGCAGGGCTCCCAGAGTTTCTGTTAATTGTGTAATGGGAGAAAGGATTAGCCAATCACATTAGGATCTGCAAGGAATGTGAGAAAGAACAGATGCATTTTTTATTATGAAAAAGGTGGTGGGAGGACAAATTAAGACAACCTGAGTTCTGTTCCCTGCTCTATTTCTAACCAGGAGTTGATGCTACAAGACAAGCTACTTATTCTCTGTGTATCTATGTAAAATAACTTACTAAATTTCCACTGTAGTGGTCAGGCTGTTTATTTATACAACAGGAGATATATATAGGATTCATTACTCATCCTATATAATAAAACCCTAGTATGCAAATCAACCAAACTACAGAATGACCAGTCGCTATGATGTGCACTGACCACCAGGGGGCAGATGCTCAATGCAGGAGCTGCCCCCTGGTGGTCAGTGCACTCCCACAGGGGGAGTACCACTCAGCCAGAAGCTGGGCTCACGCTGTTGAGGCAGGGGCAGTGGTGGGAGCCTCTCCCACCTCTGTTGCAGGCGGGTGGTAAGGAGCAAGGGGTCCCGGACTGCGAGAGCCCCAGACTGCAAGAGGGATCCCTGGGGCCTAAGTTGGCAGGCGGACATCCCCCGAGGGGTCCCAACTGCGAGAGGGCGCAGGCAGGGCTGAGGGACACCCACCCAATGCACGAATTTCGTGCACCGGGCCTCTAGTATAAGAATAAGCCATCAGTTGCTACCCACTGCCCACCGAAACTGAGAACCTAAGGAAACTATGGCCCCAGTCCAGCCTCAGGAAATGTTGAGCCAAAACAAAGATGGGGAGGAAGCAATGTCTGAAATGGAAGGAGAGGGCTTTCTGGTTAAGGTCTTCAGACGTGAGGAGAGGAGTAGGATGTCAGTGCCCCCACTGGCATGTTTAGCCACCATAAGCCCCATACTCAGTACTTTCCATTTTTTTAAAGTTAAATTGGGTGTTTTTTTTTTGGGGGGGGGGGGTGGAAGGAGGAGGAAGGAGAGGGAGAAAACAAAAGAAACTAGTTAAAGTCTAAAGGATAGAGATGGAAAAGTTGCTCACCTCATTCCTCCAGGCACTCAATTCCTCTCCTGAAAAGCAACCTCTACCAGTTCCCTATCTGACCCCTCGCCTTATTAACTTATTTTTATTTTTATGTTTTTTACCAAAGATTTCCTCCCTTTTAATGTTCCCTTAGATTTCTGCGAGCGCCCCAATCGCAGCCTCTCCCCCGTGGGAGGGGAAATAGTAAAGGGCTCGGTTCCTTCACCCCGAGCGGGGATACAAGGGGAGTAGGGGTTTCGCGGCTGGGGTGGGGCGAAGGGGGAATGAGAGTGAACCCAAGGGGCAGGGGCAGTGCCTCGCGCTCCTCACCGTCCTCCTTTCCCGCAAGGAGCTCACGGTCCCCGCGCTGCTTCCCTGGGGGCTCGGCTCGCAGGCTGTGCCCGCGGACGGGAGGCGCGGCGACCTGGGCTGAGCGCGGGGCGCGGGCAGGGGGCCCCGCGGAAACCGCTCCGCTCACAGGCTGCCCCTCCGACCCCGCCTCCCCGAGCGCACCTGCCAGCCCTCAGGCCGCGACGCTCCTCCGTGGGGCCCCGGGCTCCTCCCCTTCCCGCCGAGTCTCAGGTGGACCGGAGTCCCTGGACGCGAACAGGTGGCGCCTCCCGCATTGCTATTAGCGACAACCCGCCCGGCAGCCGGCCCGGGCGCGGATCCGGGCGTCGTGACGTCATCCACGCCCTCCCGGGCGCCGGCAGTGGCCGTGCGTCACCCCGGCGGGGGCGGGGCTGCGAGGGGCACGGCTTGGAGCCCGGCCGCCCGGGCTGCAGGAGCCCGGGAACCAGGATAACTAGGACGGCGGCCGCGGCGACGGGGGTTCGGGGTGGACGTGCCCGGTATTTTGCATGCGGGTTCCGGGGCCGGTAGAGGCGCGCCGACCGGAGAGGACAGTGCGGCGGCCCTGGAACCTGGATACCGCGCGAGGCAAGCTGCGCGCGGGCGGGCGGGCGATGGCGCAGGCGGGTTGCGGGGCCGGCGCTGGTGGCGGGGCCCGGTGCATGGCGGTCTGTCGGCGGAGTCGCCCTCGGGGGCTGTCAGGTTGGTGGCTCTGGGAAGAGAGGGTCCACCGTGCCCAGGTGGGAGGCCGGGCGGGCGCAGGGCCCCGGAAGGTCCCGAGCCCGTCGTGCCCACCTTCCTCCTGCCCCAGCCCGGCGGCCAGGCGGCTGGACGGCGGCCTGACCCTTCCCCACCAGGGTCCCGGCCCCCGCCCCCGGCCCTCCCCTCCATTCCGCCTGCTGCTCCTCCCCCAGGACTCCCAAACCCCACCCGTGGCGGCGCCCGCCTCCACCTCCGTGGCCCCACACCCCACCAACTGACCCTAAGACCTTCCCAGGGAACCCTCAATTCTTCGTCATTGACTCCGACAACCTAGGAACTTCCCCAGCTCTGCGCAGGGACCCCCCAACTCAGTGACTCCCTCAGTTTCACACAGTCACTCCGGACCCGAGATCCCCACGCCCCTCCTTGATGACCGCAAACCTCAGTGACCCCGCTGGTCCCGTAACCCCGCCCTTTCTACCGTGTTCTCCCGCAAACTTGGTGACTCTCAAGCCTCCTTCCGTAGGTTCCCACCCAGTCATCTGCAAACCCTCAATGCCTGATCAGCCGTTCTTTGCCCTGTTACCTCATGGTCTTCATTCCATGTCCCCCCTTCATCCTAAAGTCACCCCCACTGACAATCCTCGCTGCACCCAGCCCGCCAGTGTCAATCGGCACGTGATTTAAAAATGCCCTAGCACCATGCTGGTGCCAGGAAGATATGGAGATAAATACGAAGTAGTAATGGTTGGAGGCGCCAAAATAATTCTGGTTGAGTGTGTGGGCCCTGGCTCTGCCGGGGTTGTGCTTTGGGAACCTGGGAGAAGCCCTTTCTTCACTCTGGACCTCAGCTTCTCATCTGTATTGTGATCAGGTTGGGTTAAAGGACCTGAGTTTATTTCCAGCTGTGAAAGTCTGCAATTCTCAGTCAAGATAATACTCCTTTGCAATCATTTTGTGCCCTAAGGAGTTTACTCTGGTAACCTCATCCCAGGGTCCACTTGCTTCCTGGTCCCTATTCTCTCACTCCCCTGACCCCCTACACTCTTAATAGTCCGTACCCACTTCCCTTGATCAGGCCCCATCAGTTAACATGCTTGCCAAGCAGCACAGCAGAATGCTTCAGCTCTAGGCATTGATGTGATAAGAGACCCGAGTTCTAGTGTGACTGTAGCCCTTCAGCTGTGGCACCTCAGGCATACCATTTAGCCTCTCCGAACCCTCGTCTCTACTCTTGTTAAGTGAGGATGATAGTAGTGCCTGAGATAATGTGTCCAAAGCACTGGGCACCTTGCCTGGCCCATGTTTACCCTTCAACAACCTCATGAGATGGTTGCTATTATATCCACCACCATTTCCCATTTTTGTTTGTTTTGAGTTGGTTTTAAATAAATGAAGAACCTGAAACTCAGATAGGTATCACAGCTGGGATTTGAACCCAGTCTTCAAAACCCATTTGCTCCGTTACCTCTCGAGCCCTCAAACCTATCTAGTTTTCTAGGTCACCCTCAGCCTAGAGGCTCAGTGCATGAAATTTGTGCACAGGTAGGGTCCCTAGGTCTGGCCGGCGATCAGGGCCGATCAGGTTCCCCACCTCCCTGCCTCCTTCCCTCGCTCCCTCAGTGCCCCGCCACCGCCGCTGGTCACCTGCCATGTTCCATGCTGCTCCCTGGTGGTCAGCACATGTCATAGCGAGCAATCGAACTCCAGGTCTCCTGGTCGAACTCCTGAGGGGATACTTTGCATATTAGCCAGATAGATAGATAGATAGATAGATAGATAGATAGATAGATAGATAGATAGATTCCTAAGCCCTATATCAACTCATTCCACAAAACTCAAGGTTTCTGTGACCCTTTGCCCCATGGCTTTGTGACTTCCTCAACCCATTGTTCATGACTTTTGATCCCACATGCCCTGACACCCCTGCACCTTAATACATTACTCTCTTCATTCTTTGTCCAGTTGTCATCTCACCCTAAGAGTCCTTGGAACTCCTTCTCACTTCATTATTTCACCCTAAAGTGTCTCCCACTTCATTGGCATTTTATCCCAGATCCTCTCATCCTATTAAGTTCCTTACCCACAGGAATTCATATACTCTAACGCCCTCTAGCCCTGCAGTCTTTCCTCATATGATCTCTTCCTATTTTCAGTCTCTTCTAGTGTTGTAGCTGCATCCCTCCTGCCATCCTTTACCTAAACCTTCATCTACTACTAATTAGCTCTGATGTAGTGACTGCCTTCACCCAACTTATAACCCTTTCATCTTAAGATCCTCCTTTTTACACTCTGTCCAATAAGCTGTGAGATCCTGCCTCTCAGATTCCCGGATCTCCTGGCATTTTCCTCATTTTCATCAGTGATGTCCTTTTCAAACTCGAATCATCTGTCACCTTTTCCCTCTCCCTGTGCCCCTGTTCCTTCTCACAGTATCCTCTTCGTTTCCCTTATTTTTCTCCCAACCATCCTCACCTCACCAATCTTGATAACATCGATTATAATGTAAACCTCTCTCCCATCCCAACTCTGCCTTCTTCCTTTTTCCTGTGCATCTAACTCCAGGACCACATGAACGACCCTGCCACTCAGCCCTCTCCTTCCTTCACACACAGCACTGTCCAAACCATTGGCCTCTTTGGCTTGTCCAAAGAACTACACAATTCTCTGGAAAGTTCTGATAATAGATCACCAAGCTCACAGTCCTTTAGAGAGCAAGGAAATTCTTCTGAATCAATCTAACCTTGTGTCCTTGACCCACTCCCATGACCCTATCCTGTTTATGAAACTGCTTGCTGTATATGCCCTCGGGGTAGAATGCTTTGAGTGTCAGCTTCTGCCTGCATTGAATTAGCTCCATTGTTTTCCAAGCCCTGGGAGGACTTTCCTATCCTCTCCCACCAGAAGACTGGTGAGTAGCAAAATGTAACCTTAAAGATTCACATCCAAAAGTCTGTTCTGTGGGTCACCAAATTCCCAGGCCTCCTGTAATGTACTTATTGACTCTACAGCAATAAATATAGCAGAGGGCATAACCCAGAGTTAAGGAGGGGTAAACTGCAGGGTCTACAAATTCCGTGGGTTTATTTTATTTATTTATTTACTTTTTTTTTTTTTTAAATCCTCACCCAAAGATATTTTTCCATTGATTTTTAGAGAGGGTGGAAAGGAAGGGGAAAGACAGAGAAATATGCTGTGAGAGAGACACATTGGTTGGTTGCCTCCTGCACGCGCCCTGACCAGGGCCAGGGATCAAACCTGCAGCCTAGGTATGTGCTCTTGTCCGGAATCAAACCTAGAACCTGTCAGTCCGCAGGCTGAGGCTCTATCCACTGAGCAAAACCGGATGGGGCTGTGGGTTTGTTTTTTAAATATCTTTTAAACGTTTCAGAGTGGAAGGGAGAGGGAGAGAAAGATAGAAACTTCAGTGATGGGAGAGAAACATTGATGGGCTGCCTCCTGCCCTCCCCCCCCCCCCCCCACACACACACACTGGGATGGAGACCACAACCTGGGCATAGGTGGATGTTCAACCACTTGCTCCATTACTCCTCTTGCCCTCAAACCTGCCTAGTTTACGCTGGCCGGGATTAAATTAAACAGAGTTTTTGCCTTAGGTTTATTTAATCTTTCTTAGGGCACAGTACCTCTGCTGCTTTGTATCTTTGTTATTTGTGTATTCTTCTCACCCAGCTTCCCACCCCCACTGTGATTTCTTTGAGAAGAGAGACTGGGCTTTCTTTACCTTCTGTCATCTTAATCCTGTCCCTCATATTTTCAGATAGTCAGTAAATACTGGGTTGAATGAACACATTCAGAAATTTTACATCAGTACAAACAAGTGAAAACAGAAACAGCTTACATCTACATTCACTTGTAGCTACAACAGCCCTCTCCGCAAATCCTTCTAAAGGTGACAGTGGGCAGAGTTCCTTGATTTTAACAGTCTGGAATTTAGACATCTCTTTTTTTTAAGTCATTGCTCCAGTGGGGGAATGGTATAAATGCTTGTTTTTACTGTATTCTGGTAAGATTAGCGATTAGGTTGACATACTTGCTAGAATACCGTGGTTACAAGGCCAGGGTCTGTCATATATAGACCAGTTCTTAAAAAAAACAGCTAGATGAAATATTCAGTGGGGGTTTCAGAGACAGAATAGAAGAAACCAAATTAACAAAATGTTGATAATTGTTGAAGTTGGGTAATGGGTTCATGGGGTTTATTATACTATTCTTCTGTTGTGTATGTTTGAAATCCATAATATAATCGTTTTGTGGTTTTGTGTGTGTGTGTGTGTGTGTGTGTGTGTGTTTAAAAAAAAGGGCACGCTAGATGAACAAGTGAGAGTTTAGCACAGTTTCTTGGAAAACACCTCAAAGTAACTGAGCTGTTGCTGAGTCAGTACCATTATCTAGGTTGGTAGTATTTTTAGTCCTGGCCTATCTTTGACC